CTCCAGTTCCTCTTCTGATCCAGTGTCTCCTGTATTTAATAGGCAACTTGTTTGATGATGATGATAAACCTATTCCTGGACTAGCATTACTACCTCGTTCTATTCGTATCAAACTCCTCCTCCTTCTACCAGCAGTAGATGTACATAAGTTGGAAGGTACATCAGTTACTGCTGATATATTAATGGATGAGATATGGGAGACACTTTACAAGGAAAGGAATCACAATCGGCGACTGGATAAGCACAATTCTCTATTTTCTTGCAAAGATTTATACTTTAGTGAAGCAATGGTGAACCTAAAAAACAATTACCTGATGTTTTATGAAGCTAATAAAGAATTGTCTGTCTACTTCACTCATGTTAAGGAATCAGTCTATAATAATTACAAGATAGCAACTTTTCACAACGTTATTCGGGCACGAAACAAGCATCAATTATTCATAACTACCAAAACTTTCAAAAGTAAAGCAAGTATAGACTATTATCATTATGATCCTTTAGAGGCTTTAGCTCTCACAATGATTGACTTAAACATTTCTCTGAAAATTGTCACTAATTTTTTACTTGAACTTGATCATGACATTCTCATAAAGCTAACACAGTCAGCTGAGGCAATCCATTGGATTGGGAGTTGGGGTACTGACATTGAAAAATTTTTCAAAATCATATTCATAGAGAATCAGTGTCGCATTATATCATGTATATGTGAAGAAGATCCACCTTTATTACTACTGGACCATCTTCAACAGCAGTGTGACCTATTAAATGTGAATGCATACTTTACCAGTGAAGATGCTGGAAAGTTTCAAGAAGTTGTAAAACGTCATAAAAATTTAGAAGTGGTCTCAATTACATGTAGGTTTGAAACTTATGACTTTATTCAATGTTTATCAGAGCTTATGTATCGACCATGTTTCAAGCAATTGCATATCAAAGTCTACTCGTGTACAGATACCCCTGGTACATCATCCACTTCATTTAATGGTGTCCATTCCTTACTGTCTGCATTCTTCCTCTCTCCTTATCCTGTGACACTGAGATTAGAGGTCTATGATCTTACTGTTTCATATCCTACACCAGTACCACCTCTAGCTATCAATACTGAACAAGAATCAAAATCACTTGATCTATCTCTACATGGGTTTCATTGTTATCGTATTTGGGAGTCTAGTTTTCTTCCTGAGTACATTGTATTGAAATCATTGAACATTAGGAGCAATGATACATTTTGTTTATTTTCTAAAGTGAAATCAATCAAAGTAGATGAGATCACTATTAGTATTAACACTTGCAATACTATTTCATTTCCAAGTTCACGATATAAATCATTTCTTGAGATAATCTTTAATTCACTGTCACCAACTAAACTACCTTACCTTCAATTGATAGTGGAGTACAATAGAGATGATCCTTCACCAATATTGTATGATACTTGGAAGAGATGTGGTGCCATCAAACTGAAGAAAGCTGTGATAGTTGAGAAGTATGGCCAGGAAAAGGAAAAGTATCTTGAAGAGATGATGTTAATCAATTAACTATTGTTTCCCTTGTTGAGTTTATTATTGCTAATTAGTTATTGAACACACACACACATAGAATTAATCTCAACACTTGTCTCATTATTTACTAATTATTAATTGAGACCTGCTCTTGCTTATTTCATTAAAAGTATTAAAATGACAATAAAACTTGAATATCCTCCAATAACATTATTCCATTAACATTATACATGTTATTATGAGTCTCCTTTACAATCAGTTGCTGTGTTCATTATTGTTAGATCTGTACATTAATTAGTCGTTAGGCATGCACACACAAAGAGAGAGAGAAGGTAAAAAATTTTATTCATTAATCATTCCATATACATGTATCTCTATATGTAAGTTATTAATATTTGATAGCAATACATGTACATGTACGTGACTGCATGTACAGTATGTAATTCTCCTTCCTCTTATAAGCTCTTAGTCAAGTACATGTACATGTAGTTCTGTTGTTAGTATAGTACATACGTCAGGGTATGGTGAGTGGTGGAGCCCTTTAATTCTTTAATTTGAAGTTGCATAGTCAGGATTTTTAGAAAGAGAAGGTAATTTTGTGGCATGAGAAGTGCCCCTGATCCACTTACAATTTGGCAGTTTTTGAAATAATTACACATGCAATTTTTAAATTTGTCTGTACATGTACATGTACATGCAAGCACACTGAACATAACTTGCTGTAGCCAGGGGCGGATCTAGGATTGGATTCTTGGGTGGGCCTTGATGATTTGGGTGTGGTAATTAGTGGGTGTGGCCAACAAGGCCTACATTCAAAGTCAAAATTTTGAAGATTAAACCTGTTAAAATGAGCTCCTTTGTGGTTTACAAATTGTTTGCTAGTCATGTTTCACAATTTACATAGTCATCCACATTAAAAAGTTGATTTTAAATTACTGCACAAAATTTTTGGGTGGGCCTGGCCCACCCCTAGATCCGCCCCTGGCTGTAGCATGCCCTTGCCATTGGTTTAACACCTATTGTGCAATACAGAGACAGAGAGACTATTAAAAGCTGACGCTTTGTGAAAGAAATTATTTTTATTTCATCTTGGGCCTTAGCAGTTCGTATCTCTTCTCTTCTCTCTTCTGCTACTCGAATACCAGAAACTGTAACTCATTCAACCACTAGTCTATAGTATCACACTATTGATGGATTCTCTCCCAGTTCCTCTTCTGATCCAGTGTCTCCTGTATTTAATAGGTAACTTGTTTGATGATGATGATAAACCTATTCCTGGACTAGCGTTACTACCTCGTTCTATTCGTATCAAACTCCTTCTCCTTCTACCAGCAGTAGATGTACATAAGTTGGAAGGTACATCAGTTACTGCTGATATATTAATGGATGAGATATGGGAGACACTCTACAAGGAAAGGAATCACGATCGGCAACTGGATAAACACAATTCTCTATTTTCTTGCAAAGATTTATACTTTAGTACTGCAATGGTTGACAGTTACCTGATGTTTTATGGAGCTAATAAAGAACTGTCTGTATACTTCACTCATGTTAAGAAATCAGTCTATAATGATTACAAGATAGCAACTTTTCACAATGTTATTTGGGCACGACACAAGTATCGATTATTCGTAACTACCAAAACTTTCAAAAGTAAAGCAATTATAGACCATCATTATGATCATTTAAAGGCTTTAGCTCTCACAATGATTGACTTAAACATTTCTCTGAAAATTGTCTCTAGTTTATTACTTGAACTTGATCATGAAATTCTCAAAAAGCTAACACAATCAGCTGAGGCAATCCATTGGATCTGGAATTGTACTGACATTGAAAAATTTTTCAAAATCATATTCATAGAGAACAAGTGTCGCATTATATCATGTATATGTGAGGCAAGTCCACCTTTATTACTACTGGACTATCTTCAACAGCAGTGTGACCTGAAGATATTAGATGTGGCTCCATACTTTTCCCATGCTGAAAAGTTTAAAGAAGTTGTAAAATGCCATAAAAATTTAGAAGTGGTCTCAGTTATGTTTAAAGACTCTAAACCTTATGACTTTTTTCAGGAACTTATGTATCGATCGTGTTTCCAGGAATTAAATATCAAAACTAACTACTGGCCCCATGAATCAGGACGTACTCCCACATGTAATGCTATCCTGTCTGCATTCTTCCTCTCTCCTTATCCTGTGACACTGAGATTGGGTGAGGTCCTTCTTGCAATGGATTCCACTCGTCCCACACCAGGACCTCTAGCTATCAACACTGAACAACAATCAAAATCACTTGATGTAAATCTAGAATTTAGCGATAGGTGGCATGATATGGGGTGTAATTTTCTTCCTCAGTACATTGTATTGAAATTATTGAGGATTAGGGGCAATGATGCACTCTGCTTATTTTCTAAAGTGAAGTCAATTAAAGTAGATGAGATCACTATTGATATTGATACTGATACTAACACTAATAGTTTAAAATCATTGATCAATATTGTGTCAACAAATGATATGAAGATTGTCATATGTTACGACTGCAATCTTCATCATTCCACTCTTGCTCTTGAGATAATTTTCAATTCACTGTCACCAACTAAACTGCATTACCTTCAATTGATAGTGGAGCACAGTGGAGATGATCCTTCACCAATATTGTATGATACTTGGAAGAGATGTGGTGCCATCAAACTGAAGAAAGCTGTAATAGTCGATGAGTATGGCCAGGAAAAGGAAAAGTATCTAGAAGAGATGATGTAAATCAATCAACTATTGTTTCCCTTGTTGAGTTTATTATTGCTAATTAGTTATTGAACACACACACACACACACACACACACATAGAATCTCACCAAACATTACTAACTCTTGTCCATTGTTATTACATTATTGAAATTATTGTTATCATCAATACTTTAAATTTGTGCTATAATATAATACCGGTACTTATTAAGACTTGAAAGAAATAGAGGAGTAGGAGAAACTTTTGCCTGGTTGATCCAATTATAGTTTCATGATGAGCCACCTAGCTACATGCAGTTATGCATGACTCTGATAATAATTAGAAGAAAATATAAATTACTTTTTACTTATAAATGCAAACTACATGTACATTATATCTAGTTGACTTAATTTATGACCATTTTTATATGGTTAGAGAGAGGAAGCAGAGGCTAAGAAGCTAGCAGAGAAAGAGAGGAGAAGGAAGGAGAGACAAGCTCAGAGAGAAGCCAGAAAGGAACGTTTGAGACAAGAGCTAGGGGACCAGTACGAGTCAGAAGAGGAGGAGGAGGAAGAAGAGGAGGAAGGAGAAGAAGAAGAGGAAGAAGGAGAAGAAGGAGGGGGAGGAGAAGGAGAAGAGAAGGAGGATAAACCAACTGGTCCTAGTCCTTTACTGACAGTATTCACTGATCATAGTGATGACTCTTATTACTGGATATCAATGGGTGGATATGATTGTGGCTATTTGTACCAGTGTACTTTAAAAGGAGCTAATGATACTAACAGTCCTTATGAGCCACCTCACTCTGTACCCATACCATCAATAACTGCTGGAGATATACCACTACACTCCATTAAGTTTAAGTAAGTATTGCATATGTACATGTACATGTACATTTATGTGCTAATATTATGGTGGAATTTTTTTGTGGCATTTACATGTAGTTTTTGTTATTTTGCTCTTTCACAAAAAAATGCAAATTAAACAATAAGAAATAACCAGACAACACTAGGAAGAACCAATACACTTGTATAATGTGTTTATTTCTTATCTACCTTTTATGTCTACTTTACTGTTTTCCCCTCTCTCTCTCTCCCTCCTTCCTTCTTTTCTTCCTACAGTTCCAATGGTCAGTATTTACTAACAGGGTCTGATAATGGATCAGTAGAGATACACAAACTAACTGATCCTTACTCTCTCTCTGGTCTGAAAGAGGAAGGTCACGGGACGTGGTCACTAGGCACTCATGACAATCACTACGGCCAAGTCTCCTGTATGTCATTAACATATGATGATCAGTACCTACTCACTGGTGGAGGGGATGGGAATGTCTTTGTGTATAAAACTAATTTCTCTACCAGCAGACCAGCCTCTCACGTTGCCAAAGTACTTATACAATACATGCACATATATCATATACCGTATAGCCGGAAATTTTGGAGGGAGTAAAATTTGGCGAATTGCTAAATTTTGGTTATTGGCGGATTTTAATTTGGCGAATTAGTGGCCACATGTCATTGAGCATGCGTATAAAGGCTCAAAATGGCGGTTTTTATTTTGGCGAATGAAACTCTATTCGCCAAATTCGCCAAATTTTTGTCCCTCCAAATTTTTGTTCTATACGGTATTTTATATCATTTAATATGCTACATGTATGTTTACATGTATAATAGTATGCAGGTACATGTACATTATATTGTACATTTATATTTAGATGTACATGTATACTGTGCATAGTGTGTGATACACAACTTGCATGAAGATTTACATTAATACATGTACAGTGTAGTTATTATAACTATTCTTTATTGCATAGGTTGCTGGTAGTGACGCCCAGACTATCAAGAGAAGGATTGCTATTACTGATGATATTGAGGATTCCTCTCATTACAGCATTGAGGATGCTAAACAAAAAGCTGAGCAAGACAGGAAATTAAAAGCGGCTGAAGCAAAGAAACAAAAAGTGAGCATAAAAAAAATAAAAATAAAAATATAAAATAAAAATAGAATTAGAATTAGCATAAAAATAGAATTAGCAGTTGATCTTTTGCTATTGTGTGTCATTTTTATAATTTTAGGTTCGTAGGGATATCATGCTGCTGCGTAGGACATTCACTGAGTTACAGCAACGGTCTCAGCACCTGCCAAAACACTTGAGGCTCAAACAAGAGGAGTTTATGATGGATCCATCAATATCAGAACAACTCCAGAAACAACTAGCAGATAAAGTGAGTGAGAGAGATATAGAATGGGATAAGATGCATGTACATGTACATGTACATTGTACAGTATACTACATGTATAACTAAGAATTGTCTATGCATGTACATGTACATGCATGCATGTCATTTTTATATTATAAATTATAATACCTACTATTAATTATTGGTCCTTGTATATGTATGATTGTATTATGTACATGTGTAGTGTACATTGTAGTTTAGTTTAGTAATATCTGTTTTAATTTGTAGTTGGATTTAGTAAGGAGAGAGATGGCTTGGGAGTCTGAGAAGCATTCTGTGGCTTTAAAGAAACTCCAGAAAAAGTTAGTACACACACATGTACATGTATTAGCTTGTATTTAGTTCAGTGCAATGATTTTCTGATACATACTGTATATGTATTAATACATGTATTGATGTCCTTATGCTATGTACCCTGATTCTGAATTATTTTTCAAGTTATGACCATTTAAAAAAATCAGCCATTTTTCAAAAAATTCACTATACTATAGCCCATGGTTTTTTCCAAAAAATGGCTTTGAAATCATGCCCAATTTTTATTACATTTTCTGATACATATTGATGTCCTTATGCTATGTAGAAAGTTTCAGTTGATTCCAACTTAATTTTTTTCAAGTTATGACCATTTTTTAAAATTAGCCATTTTTCAAAAAATTCCCTGTACTATAGCCCATGGTTTTGTCCAAAAAATGGCTCCAAAATCACGCCCAATTTTTATTACATTTTCTAATACATATTGATGTCCTTATGCTATGTAGAAAGTTTGAGCCAATTCCGACTTAATTTTTTCAAGTTATGACCATTTTAAAAAATCAGCCATTTTTCAAAAATTCCCTGTACTATAGCCCATGGTTTTTTCTAAAAAATGGCTCTGAAATCACCCCCAATTTTTATTACATTTTAAAATACATATTGATGTACTTATGCTATGTAGAAAGTTTGAGTTGATTCCGACTTAATCTTTTCAAGTTATGACCATTTTAAAAAATCAGCCATTTTAAAAAAAAATTCCCTGTACTATAGCCCATGGTTTTTTTCCAAAAAATGGCTTTGAAATCACGCCCAATTTTTATTACATTTTCTGATACATATTGATGTCCTTATGCTATGTAGAAAGTTTGAGCTGATTCTGACTTTAATTTTTCAAGTTATGACCAGTGTAATGCCAAAATACATGTACATCTTGGGTACTACATGTACATGTATTATTATTGTTTTTCTGACGGGTTGGCATCACTCCCAATATACAGTGTACATGCACGCATGTACATGTAGTACTGTACATGGTTTTGGCTAATTTTTATTAATTTTTATTGTGTTTTTAATGTACATGTACTTGTATTTATGCTCTGTACATGTAAATACATGTACATACAGTTACACATGTAGTTTTAGCTGATTTTTATCAAAATTGGAATTTTTTACGATGATAATAAAGACACACACACTTAAATTTTTTTCTGCATGTAGTCATGTACAATACAATAATACATTCACTTGTTATTTTTCACTAGATACAAAGATACAGTTGAGTGTGAGCGTACAGTAGTATGGACAGTAAGAGGAGGGTATTGGGTGAGCACGTTCCGTTGTGCTGCCCCTTCCTCTCAATACCTTGAGCTCCTGGAGAAGATACTCAGCTCTGATCAAGCGGCTGCCAATACTCCCTCCACTGCTGGTACAGGACCTAGTGGAAGAGTACCAATGAGACGTAAAACCCGAGGACAAGATACCCTCGCCCTTGAAACACTCAAGGGAAAAGGAAGTATTGTGGAGTCGGTGGATCTTAGTAAGAGTGAGATTAGGAGACAAAAGAAGGAGAAGAGAAGGAGGGAGTGGGAGGAGTTTAATCAAACGAAGCCAGGGGCTGGTTACGAGGACCCTGAAGAGGTTTCGGCTATTAGTAAAGCAAAGTCAGAAATGGGCGATTATAAGCTTAAGACATCGAGCGATTACGTTGTGTCCGATCAACAAAGAATGTCCACTGAGAAGAAGAGAAGGGAACTACTGATATGCAGAAACAATGTAAGTACATGTACATGTATTAATTACTACTATACCTTAAAATTCAGTACTTTATCCTTCATTTTTTTCCTTTGCTAATTTTTAGCTTAATGTACATGTACATGTATTTTCTGTTGTTTAATCTTTGTTATTTTTTTCAGATTTTTGATGCTAAACGAAAATACAATGATAAACTGATGGCCCTCAGAGACTATAAGATTGAAATGATTAAAAAGGTATAACTAATGATAATAAGTAATTGTACATGTATGTGTACACATGTATTGAAATCATAGTAAAGATGCAGTCAATATTTTTCCTTTCTCTCTCTCTCTCTCTCTCTAGATTACATTGCTAGTTAATGAACTGAAAAGTGCTCAACGTCATTTGCCTCCCTCTCTTCGTAAACCTCTCCCATCCATTCCAACACTTAAACCTGAAGAAGTCCCTGAAAGGTACGTACTGCATGTAAATACATTGTACATTACATGTACATGTACATGTAATGTGCATACATTTACAATACATGTACATGTACATACATGGATTATAATTATATATATATAATTTTTTTTTGTTTTTTGTTGTACATGTACTTATTGCTACTTATTTTTGTGTTATTATTAAGAGATAATTCACATGGTAAAAAAAACATGTACAATGTATGCTACTTACATGTACATGTAGTTGTGTGTATGGTCATCATTGTTTTTATTCATTATTGTAGGGAGTTGGAGTATACGAAAGAGACTTTGATAAAGTTTCGAGATGATAAGGAGAAGAGAGAGAAAGCTGAGAAGGATGCAGCTGCTGGTGTGGGTGAAGGGTTTGGTGGATTCGGAGGATTTGGTGGAGGAGGAGGAGAAGATAAAAAGACTGAAGAGAAAGATGTAATTATTTATACATGTACATGTATACATGTATGTACATTGTGCATTTGTACACATTTAATGCTAAATCTTTATTAGCTTATAATTATGTACAATTGTGTGTACTAATTTTACTGAAGGCTATACATGAAATTAAAAAGCTTAAACTCAAGTGATGCTTAAATTAATGTTATCTTAGTTTAAGGCTAAGATTAATTTATATTGATGTCTTCATTATGAATGCAAGATATTATTATTTTACTGTTTCATGTGCATGTAGTCATCTCCCAGTTCTGGTACTAGCAGCAGTCACAGCATTGGAACAAAAGGAGGAGGAGAGGGAGAGGAGGGCAAAGGAAAAGACGATGACTACCAGTTGTCTGATCTTGAAGCCCTAATGTCCAGTGAAGAGGAAGTGCTCAAGATTTACAGGCAGGACTCATTGCTGGCTGATATTGAGGAACTAGTGAAGTCTTTTGATGACACTGTGGTCCACCTGAGGCATGAGAAATCACTCCTTGATGTAGTGATGAAACTAACTGAACTGAAGTAAGGGAGGATCAGCATTAGGAGAGCATTCAGAAAATTTGGACATGTTTTGGAGCTAATTTTAGAAATATCATGCTTGGTCTAGTACATGTACATGTATATGTAGATGTACATGTACATGGTCTTCAATGGCCAAACTTTAATAATTTTTTAAAAAGTATATGTACACGTTTAAATACTATCTATGGTATTGTTGCTGTATTTGACCTTGGTTGCTTTTCAGGCATTTGACTCAGTTTGAGGAGCTAGAGCTTTTGAAAGAGTTTGAGAAAAGAGAGACAAACTTTACAACGAAATACAGGACAAAGAAGAAGGAGAGGGGAGACCTAGAAGTGAAGGTACTACACCTTACTTTATACACAAAATAAAAAGCATCATAATTGCATGTAATTAATGTACATGTACATACATGTACTTTCCCTTTAAAAATTTGCTGTTTAATAGCAAAAATTATACTGCTATCAAGTTAAGCTAGAGTCTACAATTTTATTTAATCAGTTTTTATTCCATTGAAAAAGCTTTAGTAGATAGCACTTTATTTCTTTGTGCGCAGATTGAAGAGATTGAGTGGGAGGTTCAAGAGAAAGAGAAGTTGGTCTCAGTGCTACAGGAGCAGGAGAAAGCTCTTGATCACGAGTTTATGGAGGCCATGGGAGAGAATAACAAATTCAAGGACTTCCTATTGAAGGTTTATCGGAAGAAAATCAAACGTGCTAAGCAGAAACAAGGAGAAACAGAGGGTAAGAATGAAGAGACTAATAATACATGTACATGTACATGTACATATAAATGTACATTATATTAAATGAAGTATGATGACCAGAATATACATGTAAATGTAGTAGATAAAATACTGTACATGTACATGTACATGTACATGTAGATGTGACAGTTAGAGGTCACTTAGAAAACTAGTTGTACTATATGTATATGTACATGTGCATATGCATGTCTATGTATGTACACGTATTTCTACAATACTTGTACATAAAACTTATAAATTGTATATCTTGATACATGTACTGGTAGATTCTGACGATGAAGACAAAGATGAAGATGACGAAAGCGACAGCGATGACATGTCATCCACCGATGAAGAATCAGATGAAGAGGGTCTGGATGACTCAGTGTGTCCGCCAGGCTGCGATCAAACTGTGTTTGATAAAGCCATCGCCATGAGAGAGAAGAGGCTAGACCTCGAGGACTCCATCACCGAAGAGAAGAAGACGCTTGAAGGACTCAAGAAAGAAAGAGACGGTTTACTCAAGAAGGCAAAGTCGATGGAAAGTCACGTGAAGACAGCCTTGCAGGATCTTCAGGCGTTTCAGCTCAAGAAGCAGCAGAGGATGAATGAGTTGGATAGTGTTGTGTTGTTAAAGTTGCATCAGATACTCCACTACCAGGCTCAGGGGGAACCACCCACGTCTGTCGGTCAGTGTCTGGTGTTCCCGGCCTCAGCTCGGGAGAATCTGGCTCAGCGTATTGGGGAACTGGTACAGGAGAAGCAGCACGAGAAGAAGAGATACAGGTATAGGAATTAAGAAACACTATTGATCATTAAATGTATGAATCAATTATTTTTACTATTTTCTATAGGGAATTAAGATTGCAGCATGTAAAAATGACTAGAGATAGGAAGTCACATGAAAAGAAAGTGAGTACTAATACAATCATTTCTCTGCTATTAATATTGGCCATACAATAAACTTAATCATTTTTGACCTTTATAGATATCACATGATCATAATAACGCTATTTTTAATTTTTTTCCTACATGTAGATGTACAATGTAAATGCACGTATTAATTTTTCTTTATTTATTTTAGGTTGCAGAGCTAAATGAGAAAGCTAATGAGATGATGATGCTCAAGTTTGGACGTGTTGTTAATCTTGATGCCCTGGAGGGACTCACCACTAACAAAATGATTGGAGAACTGGAGCAAACACTAAAAGAAGCAGAAATGAAATATGAACGAGCTAAACACAAATTAGAGGTATCATTTTCTTCCTTTTTATTATTCAAAAGGGTTTATTTACTGTCTTAATGGTGCAAATACTGACATTTTTGATAAAATACCCTGTACTACAGTACAGGGACTTTGGCCCAATTTTTGAGCAACTTTGAAAATTCATGACAAATCTAGTTTTTATCAAAATCAGCTCAAACTTGCTACACAACATAAGGAAAGTATATGCATCAAAATTATTATTAAAATAAAGATTTCTTTTCTAGTCATTTTTGGTGAAATTTTGCCCAAAACCCTGTACCTTATGCCTTGGGTATTTTTCAGAACTTTGGCATTTTTTAAAAATGGCTATAACTTGAAAAATTGAAGTCGGAATCAGCTCAAACTTTCTACGTAGCATAAGGACATCAATATGTATCAAAAAATGTAATAAAAATTTGGGGTGATTTTGGAGCCATTTTTTGAAAAAAACCATGGGCTATAGCCTTGGGTATTTTTCAGAATTTTGGCATTTTTAAAAATCAGCCGTAACTTGAAAAATTGAAGTCAGAATCAGCTCAAACTTTCTACACAACATAAAGACGTCAATATGCTTCAGAAAATGTAATAAAAATTGGAAAGTGAGTTTGGAGCCATTTTTGGGAAAAACCATGGACTATAGCCTTGGGTATTTTTCAGAATTTTGGCATTTTTTAAAAATCAGCCATAACTTAAAAATTTGAAGCCAGAATCAGCTCAAACTTTCTACACAGCATAAGGACATCAATATGTATTTTAAAATGTAATAAAAATTTGAGGTGATTTTGGAGCCATTTAAAAAAATCCATGGGCTATAGCACAGGGACTTTAGCCCGATTTTTGGGTGACTTTAAAAATTCATAAAAATCCAAAATCAGCTCAAGTTTCTACACAACATACAATGTAAATGCATGTGTGTATATGTATCAGAAAATGTAATAAATATGCCATTAGCATTATGGTGCCTGAATTTAAATTAATCATTAATATTTTCTCTTTCTCGTAGACTAAAATCAATGATATCAAGTATGAGCTATTGAGTGAGGTCCAACAGAACACACAGAAACTTGATGAACTCAACGAGTTCTCAAATCAAAGCAGGCACCTAGAAGAGAGTCTCAACCAAACACAAAAGAACTGGGTACGAGACATAATTATAACAATATAATGTACACTATACATATCAGAATTAATGAAAAATGACTTACATGTAAGATTTTTTAGCATACATGTACATACAGAAAATTAAATCAGATATAAAGCACATCAGATATAAAGCTATAGTATAAAAAATAGCTTGAGATTGTGTTATGTACATGTACAGTATTGTACATATACATGTACATGTACATACCGACAATTCAAATTCTGCTATTACATGAATATAATTTTCATAGGGGGATGATATCTCTGGAGGGAGTCTGTTTGAGCCAGAAGAGAAAGCAAAGCTTGTTGATATTGTTAGCATTCAGAGTCGTGAGATAGAGGCACTGAGAGAAGAAATAAGAGTATTATCACTTAAAGGAGGTCACATCCTACCACCAGCTCAACCACCAAACATGCTAGCTGGATCATTATAAACTTAAGAACTACTACATGTATATGTAAATGGTTATACATGCATCATTATAAGGCATTACATGTACTGTAAAATTGTCCTTTATTTTGAACTTATTTTAAAATGCAAGGTGTCCTCTTGTGACCACATCCTCATACAGTATAATTATTGACGGACTGTTTCTAGTATCTATATGCTCTAAACTAGATCTGTATTTGCCATACTTTTTGATCATAAGCAGAGGATAACCGAACTAGGGACAAACATAGCTGGGCTTCAAGTTTAAAGGGACACGTTCACGGAAATAGAATGCACACGTTACTGTAGAGGAAGTAAACATTAAATTGGGCGTGCAACAGATCATTAATTAATAGTTATGACACGTGTTTAGACACGTGTAGAGAGTAGAGACAGCAATCAGTCGCAGAACCAGGAGTAGGCATCTGTAGAACACTTCTCTCGAACAGAATTAGCTCTTTTGCCACCCCAAGATACTCTTTTTAGTGAAGAAACACCAGGAATATTTACAAGTAGCCACTCGAGTAGCCATTTTGCCTTAATTATTAGGGGCGCGGCCGCACATTATGAATAGTTATCAACACTAAACGTCATCATTAATGATGTCATCTTGAAAAACAGGCCAGTTTTTCAAGATGACGTGCTTCCGTGCGTGTGTCCCTTTAAGTTAGGGTTTATCTGATTTTTAAATCGTTATCATCCAATCAATAACAGTAATAAATTAAATTTTTACATAATTAAAAGCGCATGGCCAACAGTTATAGCTTTCTCTTCTTGCGATTGCTAGTAGGGAAGACAGGAGGGACCTTCAGTGTAATATTGTACTGCTTGAGTCCTGAACTGACAGACTTATCTAATGACACACTACAACCTAATACACGGAACATGCTCATCACTCTGTGAGAGGAAATTAAGAGAAAAAATAATAATAATGACTAAAATCAATTCAATATTTTTACAAGCATATATACCGCATACCATGACATTTATGCGACAAAAAATTTTTGCAAATTTTGCGATTTTTTGTTCTGTCACAAAAATTAAAATTGCAAAATTCTGCAGCTCCATTGCCATGTGGAGCAGTTTGCAAGCTATTCGTGAAAATTTATTTTATAAAATCTTAGAAATGCAGGAGTCACAAAAGAAATTTGTCGCATAAATTTCATGGTATACAGTAATAGTTAAGAATGCATTCAACACAATAAAAGTTTTAAAATCCTCCTTCACACAAATTGATACAATAAGTTACCATAACTGACTTGTTTGATGATATCTGAAGGTCTTTCTGAAGTACTGATGAATTGAGAGTATACCCAGAGAATCTTAGAGCAATAGCAAATAGATAGGACATCACTTTATCTTTCATTTTACTACTGAAGGAGCATTGAGCCCCTTTAGCTCCTGCCCTCCCTCCTCCTCCTCCCTCTGTGAACTTATCCAGTAAAGATGAGTGCATGAAATGAGGTATACTGGAACACTTCTGTAGACCTAAGAGGATTAAGAAACAAGTAAAGGAATGAGCATACTGTTAGCTATTAATATTACATGTACTTTACCTTGCTGTTTTTTTAACCTTAGATTAAATACAATCTTTTATTTGAAGATTCAGAGTTATACCATACACTACATTCTACTGGCAACTTAATATTAGTGCATAATAGTGTGTACAAGTAACTCTAAATTTTAATTTCTCATCAAAATCCTTCTTTGGTCGAATTAATATTCATCAAATTTTCATTACTTTAATATTATGACTCTGCATACTACAAGCATTATGTAGCAGGAAAATAATTTCAAACAAAATGCCCATTGCTTTTAGTGACAAAAATTAATATACAATACATTTCATTGAGGCACACTAACAAAGACAAAGTTTTTTTGACCTACTCAGCAGTTGCTAATTTGCTATTAGAAGAGATTGATCATGTTTACTCAACAGTTAACAATAACTAATTATATAGTTCAGCATTCAGCTAAAGCAACATTATAACATGCAGATACTGACAACACATTTGTAGCATCAAAAATAACATTACAAAATCTGGTAATAAAATTAATAGTGTCAAAGTAATACAATTCACTTGACATAAATCTCATAATAACGAACAGGAACATCTGCATTATTAGAAGCACACACCCTCAGCTCAATATAGTCAGTGCTGGTAGTGTTACCATAGTCTTTGTGAAACCATGGGATACCAGGAGCTGAACAGCAAGGAACTTCATTACTTTGGCAATTATACCCATCCCAGAGTGGATCAGATGAATAGAGCTGTAATGATGCACCATAATTGATATTCCCTGATTCACAGAAGTAATTGTTACCAATAAAAGACTGCACAGATGCTGTAGTGCCAGTATTACAAGGACATGTGTATGATCCAGTTCTTGTTTCACTATAACCAGCCATTAGTGTCCAGACATGTTGACGAGGAGACCCACGAGTGATACTAACACCATCAACATAATAAGAATTAAGATCATTGGGATAAGGAGTGTTATATGCAACAGTTGTGTAACCATACTGATATCCCACTACTCTACCACATATTTGAGAATACTTAATACCATTAGATGGAAACTGAACTGAAGCACAGCTACCACCATTTGTTGTTGGTCTACCACAAGCTCTAACTCCTCCTAACTGGTACAGTCTAAACCCAGAAGGACAGTTCACTGTAACATTGGACACATTCAGATTTGCTAGTCTTGTCCATCCTCTTGAACCACACAGCTCCTCCATATTACAATACGCAGAATACTTAGCTGATCCATTATCTGAAGCTAACGCATAATAACCTGATGGACTAATAGGAAACTGGGTAAAGATCTGCTTGCAAGATGTAGGAAGAAAATTAGCCAGTATCACTCTCAATGCTTTTCTTGTTGCCAGTATATCATCAACCACTCCAGCAGTAGAGGTACTGGTATTTTGTAGGCTAGTAAGAGAGTTTATAATAGTAGCAAGATCTTGTGCTGATCTACTGGCAGTTTGCAGGATCTGTGAATCAATCTCAGTAAATTTAGGAATACTCAAGGTAACATTGGTATTCACTCTACGTACTACATCATTAGTCTGTTGCGTAAAGTTAGGAAAGCTCTCTCTAACATTATGCACCACATTATCAGCCCATTGTGGAAAGGTCTTGGTAATATTGGTGTTAACTTTGTGTACCACATCATTAGACCATTGTGTAAAATTAGGTAAGCTCTCTCTAACATCTGTATTTACTTTGTGTGACACATCATTAGCCCATTTTGTAAAATTAGGGAACCTTTCTTGATAGATAAGGCCATCTATCAATTCAGTGCAGTTACAAGACAAATCAGGACCAGGTGAGTCATCTTTGGTAGCTATCACAGCTATTATCATGCAAAGGATAATAACCAGTAGTGCTAGGATTAAACTTAAAAGTACAATCAGGACAACGACTGGCCATTCTGGTTTCTTGAAAGTACACTTATCCTTTCCTGTATACTTATCTTTTGTTGCACACTCATCCTTTGCTGTTGTTTCTGCTGCCTTTAATGGTTGTACATTTCTCTTTAAGTCGAGATCCACCAGTTCATATCCATGGATATCTTGAGTTGGTCCACGTGGTTGACCAGGAGGTGATCGATAATACACTTCATTGATAAACTTATCCATTGATCCTTTAGTCTACTGGTAGCCCTCAAACAGACACGATGTGTTTTTGACTTTTCTGTTGTTGCTTGCTAATGCTTTTAAAAAGTTTACCTTTATATTATAATGTATAATGCACATGAATGAC